ATAATCAGTCACAAGAACGTCGAATCTGAATCACTTGAAAAAAACACGGGGGTGCTTAACTTTTTTCCAGGTGTATATATAAAACGTATGTAAGATAATAAAATTCCATTCCAGAGTTGATAAATAAATGTATATACTAGAATGTTCTTCATTTTTTGGATAATTTGTTACTAGGTCTGTATATATGATATGCAATAAGGCGTCATGCATTAAAAAATGATGCAGTTAAAATATAATTGTGCAGTTGAAAAAATCTCGAGGAAAAGCCCTACTCGCATTAAACTTAAACCGAAACAGTCGTGTATATAACAACTTCTCTTGTCTGGATATTTGATAAGTATTAATTATTTGAGTTTTGTAATTTGTATATCATTGGGTTTTTGTACATGTGTTAAAAAATCTTACATATTCATTAAGTACTTAGAATTAACAAGTGTACAATATAAGATTATTATCATGCACAAAAAATATTAGAAACAATTTCACTTCACCAATCACTCACATGTTTTAAAAGAAAAACTTATAAAGGATAATTATTATATGGTTATATGATATGGTGAATGAATGAAAAACTGGTAGATTTAAAAAACGAAATACTTTCAGTTCTTTGTAATGGTTAGATATCACAACACAGCACGAACAAATGTTCATTATGTATGACTTACCTATCATATATTTTAGTATATGATATTTGTGTTGCTGTAAATAAGCAAAAATAATAATATTTTGATTATAACTGAATCTTTTTTCTTTTTTTCGAAATGATCATCTCTTTTCTTTGACAATTATTTTGTGCTGCTAGCAGACAAAACCGTTTTAAATGATAAGATAGACAACACTTATAGTGCTGTGGCCATGTTGTTTGTTATATGTATTACATCCTTAACTTGGAATATCACACACATTTTTTTAATAATGGAGTTTACACAATGGTACCATTTTTTTGTTGAAGCTTGTATTATTCTGTGTCTAGTAGCGATATATGTTACACGTTCATGTACATATATGTATTATTATGTATCTAGTAGTGATTTATGTTACTCGTTTATGTACATTTGTATTATTCTGTATCTAGTAGTGATATATGTTACACGTTCATGTAGATTTGTATTATTCTGTATCTAGTAGTGATATATGTTACACGTTCATGTACATTTGTATTATTCTGTATCTAGTAGTGATATATGTTACACGTTCATGTAGATTTGTATTATTCTGTATCTAGTAGTGATATATGTTACACGTTCATGTACATATATGTATTATTATGTATCTAGTAGTGATTTATGTTACTCGTTTATGTACATTTGTATTATTCTGTATCTAGTAGTGATATATGTTACACGTTCATGTACATTTGTATTATTCTGTATCTAGTAGTGATATATGTTACACGTTCATGTACTGTACATTTGTATTATTTAGTGTCTAGTAGTGATATATGTTACACGTTCATGTACATTTGTATTATTTAGTGTCTAGTAGTGATATATGTTACACGTTCATGTACATTTGTATTATTTAGTGTCTAGTAGTGATATATGTTACACGTTCATGTAGATTTGTATTATTCTGTATCTAGTAGTGATATATGTTACACGTTCATGTACTGTACATTTGTATTATTTAGTGTCTAGTAGTGATATATGTTACACGTTCATGTACATTTGTATTATTTAGTGTCTAGTAGTGATATATGGTACACGTTCATGTACTGTACATTTGTATTATTTAGTGTCTAGTAGTGATATATGTTACACGTTCATGTACATTAGTATTATTCTGTATCTAGTAGTGATATATGTTACACGTTCATGTACATTTGTATTATTTTGTGTCTAGTAGTGATATATGTTACACGTTCATGTATATTTGTATTATTCTGTATCTAGCAGTGATATATTTTACACGTTCAAGTACATTTGTATTATTCTGTACTTCCTAAAAAGGAGATGGAGTCATTAGAATTTTAGTATGTGTGTTTTTTCAGTAATTTATTATATTGAATTAAGGGAGGCTTAGGCATGACTTGAGAAGTGTTGTTTGGAAAAAGGTCTTATATGCATAGGTGACAAGAGTTTCTATGGAAAACTGGTGTTTCTATATCAGTGAAAATATAATACGAATAATGTTTTATTGTTAACACTTTTCTTTCAGATTCTTAATTAATAATCCTTTAACTTGCATTATTAGTGCACCAGAAATTAAGAATCCTAAAGTAAAATTATGTTGTGCAGGTATTTTCTGAAAATAAATCCAGGAAGTGGAACAAAGGTTGGAAGAAAACACATTACATCTCTTACTTTGTTAACTTTCCTGAATGACATCAGAGACCACGTGAGTGACCACGAGGTTTTGTCACTGTTAATTTCGTTATATGTCATACTCTAGTATGTTCAATAAGCTAAGGCGACACTTTTTGTATGCAATTATGTGTATTACAAACATATTTCTTAAACTTTGATGTGATTAACTATAATTTACAAAGTCTCTTACATTGTATGTTCTCGCAGTTTCCTAAACTGCACATGTAGATGTTCACATAACACCTGAACAAGAAAGAGAAGTAAGCCAGTATCTCACGGATGTTTTATACCTAGAATAATATCGACAAAATAAAGTAGAGAAAATACACTACCCATGTAAGATTTAGCACAAGGAACAGAGGAACATAACTTATAAACAAACATATCAACCTAAACTATTATAATATAATACACTGTAAAAGTTACTATTAAAATATCATTTTAAGGTTTAACGATAAAGTGAATTTATATTCTTTTTATTAAATATACCATCTTTTACGTAAATTATTAGGTTATAGTATTTAAGCATCGTTTTTACATTTTACGGTACATTTTAAAATTTACAGTAAACTACTGGAAATTTAGTTGTCAGTATTTTACCGTAATTCTTACATATGTTTTTACAGGGTAAACAAAGAGCTCTCTGCATACAGCCGTTCTTGAATTGGAGCTGAGAGACTAGAGGAAAGGCAACTAATAAACATCAGTTACAGCTAACTCTTGGGCTACTTTTGTCTGATTGAATAGTGGGATTTAATTATCAATCTACTAGCATACTCTCACGGTTAACGGTCTAAGCACGCTAACCACTAGGCCACAACCTACCCTTCCACTTTCTTTAAGCAAAACAGTCAAGTATGTGCCAAGTCGTAATAAATTACAGAGCTGCATGGTTAGTATGAAACGGTGTTTACGTTTTAAAGAAGCCAAAATATTTGACCATTTTGTATGGTATAAAGGTCATAGTAAGTAATATTGTCCAGCGTTTGTAAACAAATGTTGTGCTATATTTCACGAGGTAAACAGCAGTGCTTGCATAGTTTCTTAGAATCTTTATAAAACAACCTCTCTATTATTAGATCAGTCAAAAGCAGGTTAACCTAAGGGCCTAAATCATACAACAAATGAAGTACTGCTTGTGTTTGATTTGTTCTTTACCTCTCAAAGAAAAAAATAGAACAAAAAAACAAAAGAAATAAACTAGAACAAGAAGAGAAGAAACAAATTTTTGTGGATAAAAAAAAAACATTTTGTCATGAACAGTAGAGAAGAGAAACGTTGGTTGTTGCTCTTCAAACGGGGGCAAGACAAACAGTGAAAAAAAGAAAACTAAAATATAGAGAACGACGGGAGGTAACATCTGGTCGACAAGTAGTTGTGCTTTTCTAAGATCGTGCTTGTGCTAAGAACTTGTAGTATTGTTCCTGATCAGATGCTTTAGGGGAGTGACATACGTAATTAATGACTTTACCCTGTAAGACCCCAAGTTCTCTACAACGCATGGAATGGCTGCATTACGTCCTACGGTTACTGTAGCATTCGGAATTGGTTCTGTGAATTCAGGTTCCGGACCCAGTTCTGAAAAAGATAAGGAAAAGGTCAAGATTTTTTTGATTTTTTTTACATATATAATACATTAAACATTTAAATGTTACTATAATATTAGTATTATCCAAGAGCAAAGATTAAGTGTCGGTCATACTAAATGGAAACATCAATCAGTTATGAAATTGATAAGCAAAGCCAGATAAATGTTTGAAGTAAAACTCTGGGTTAATTTGACTTTATGATTATTAAATCTCGTTTCTTAGTTTTGCATATCACAAATAATATTAGTTGCCTTCGTTTTTCATTTAAACATAGCATATAGATGACCTTCGTTGATCATAAAACGGAGATCAATTTATGCCACGAAATACGTTTTATATATTGTTTACATTATAAGGCTTCTTTACGAAAACTGTCAGCTGTGATCCATGAAATACAACATGTTCGTCTAGCGTTTTGTTTTTATCAGAATGTATAAACATGTAGGTTTTATGTCTATTATAATGAAGCAATAAATTCTTACAAAACATTATTTTTATATATATGTATGGTGTGCACTGAATGTCAGAGTTCCTGAAACATCACCTTAAAGCAACAAACATGCCACACCAAACCTAAAGATGTGGCTGGGTTATATTTGAGTGAAAGCTATACAGCACTTTCCGAATGCATACCATTGTAGAGTTAGATATGATTGCTCAGAGCGACACAGGATAATAAAGGTGGTTCTTTAAGAATGAATGTGAACATTTTTCTCAATCGTATCAAGTCATGATCTTTTTGGAAATCTTAGTGGTTCTGAATATTAGGTGAACGATTTAATATTATACATCAAGTAGTGTAAATAAACTATCATATATAACGCATATATCTCTTTCATCACATACTATTGACACTACTTGAAAGTGTTCAACAGTTGCTACAAGCTTCTTCTCGAAAGTAAGCACGCAGGTTTACAGAACCTATAAATTTCACGATTACCATTTATAGCTGTTTTTAATTTACTTGAACTCAGAGAATCTATGCGTACAATAAGTATCGAACATTTTGCTTGCTCTGCATTGACTAAATTAATCCGGTAAGCCTGAAGATAGCATTTCCAAAACAAAAAATGTTAAACAATGATGTTTCGTTAACATTACTATGAAGCATTGTTGTGGATTTTTTGCTATTCTATTCCAACTAAAATGGAAACATTTTCGTCAGTGCTTTATTTCAAATCGTAACTTAATGATAACTTCTACAGAATATGCTTTGATTCAACACGTTTAATCGCATTTAGATATTATGTTTCCTCTCTCGTCACACAGATAATAAGCTTAAGCACAAATAAAACTCTCGGCTTACTTAAAACCGTAGGTACACACACAGCGGAATTTTACTTGTTTGTTTGTTTGTTTGGAGCAAAACCACATTGGGATATCTGCTGTGTCTACCGTGGGGAATCGAAATCCAGATTTTAATGTCGTAAGTCTTTAAACTTACCACTGTCCCAATAAAGCGGCATTTTACTTGTTTGTTTGTTTGGAGCAAAACCACATTGGGATATCTGCTGTGTCTACCGTGGGGAATCGAAATCCAGATTTTAATGTCGTAAGTCTTTAAACTTACCACTGTTCCAGTAATGTTACTCTGTCACAGGAATTGACATCATATTTGACATTTGCGATATGCTTGCAATAGTTTCAACTCATTATTGTATATTTTCATCGCTATAAAATCATTGGCAACCATGTTTCTGGAGGAAACATGAACATTTTTTATCCAAGACACGTTTAAACATGTAAATTTCCCTCTTTTTTTTCCAGTTCGCTTATAAAGATATCATCTCTACCCATAATGGGTATAACCCAAAGCACATTATATGGTAGCTAAAAGTGGAATTACCAGTTTTGGTGTTCTCTTTAGTAATAGCTACTATGTAAGTGACAAAAAAAAGATGTAAAACAGTTAATACTTGAATAAGAAAAACAACAACAATAATAACCTACTCCTTTCCTAAGTAAGTCATATATAAGAAGACTTAGGCCATAATCCTTGACTGCGTGTTTAGTGTGTTTGCTCCTTTTCATTCCTTGTTCTAACCCTTCTCAAAAATAACAAAAATTTCCGACCATAAACAAATCAAGCACGATTCTTCTGATAAAGTCAACCGCGAATGATACAGCAGATTAAAAAGCTAAAAAAAAAAAGATTACGAATAGATGTTCAAATATTTTCATTATTGGACGTTCGAGAAACTGTAGTCTTGTTATATGTAATGATTTTTATCACTGTGAGTATACTTTATGCAAAAAAATTATAAAACATGATCCTTAAATCTTGCCTATTTGAGGATTAAAAACATATATGATACTACATACATGTTTTTCAAATCTAGAACCATTATTGTAAAACATACATTTTGTGCTATGCCCCCGAGATTAACATCCAAGTGTTAAAGATAATAAATCCTGAGTGTTTTAGAGTGATTAGTATGATTTTGAATTTGCAAATAATTAGCATTCTTTCTTTGCCAAGGGTAAAAAATACTTGTTCTATTGGAATAGATGCCAAGGGTAAAAAATACTTGTTCTATTGGAAAGATGCCAAGGGTAAAAAATACTTGTTCTATTGGAATAGATGCCAAGGGTAAAAAATACTTGTTCTATTGGAATAGATGCCAAGGGTAAAAAATAATTGTTCTATTGGACTAGATGCCAAGGGTAAAAAATAATTGTTCTATTGGACTAGACGACAAGATCAAGCCTCTTCCAAATGAGATTTGTGCATTAAGAATATTTTTGAAATCTGCCATCTGCATTTCAGTTAAAGCCTAAGTATAAAATTTCACAACCAGTTTAGATATTTTCTATTTGCCAGTCCACGAAATGGTGATTTTTTCTCACTGAAAATTTAATTTTCGAATAAAAGGACGTGTTCGTCTGTTTGTCGTTAAGCACAAAGCTACAAAATATTGTGCTCACTAAGGGAATCTAAATCCGGTTTTTAGCGTAATAAGCCTTCAGATTTTCCGCTGAGCCACTTGAGAGGGGCAGGGCAAATGAAAGAAAATATTATGAGCATTTGAGCTAAACGGCCAAGACAGAGAGCTCTATAGATATCCTAAATTTTGAACTACTGACAAGAGAGAAGGCAGTCAGTCCGCAGCACCTGCAGCCACTGCGCTTTGTCCAGCTTTTTCAATTAAATCGCGGAGTGGCTGTTACTTTTATAACGCGCCTACAGCTGAGAGTGTGGAGCGAGTTTAGTGACATCATATCTTTGACAAAGGAAACTTTTAACTCAAATAAGCCACTCAACTAGCAATGGGAACTGCTAAATCAAACACGTCATTTAACTGACAAGAGAAACTGTTGACTCAAACATGTCATTCAACTGAGAAGAGCTACTGTTAAACTCAAACATTCCATTCAACTGACAAGTGGAAAAATATATATTCAAACAAGTTGCTTAAATGACAAAAGGAGACTCCTCAACACACACTAATCTTTTAAGTGATAAAAATCAAAGCCACTACTTACAAGACCACATGTCAAGTAAAAATGGAAACTACCAACTTACACGGATCTTTAAAATGACGAGAGAAACACAAGCTTGTCAAGTTACATGGTTGACTGATAACTAAGACAAACTTCTGAGGTAGCAATGCAGAAACGGCTATCTCAAACATACGGCTCCAAAGCAGCCTAATTTATGAATTGACAAGGGAAATTTCTAACTGATACAATACTGTCAAGTAACAAAGGAAACTGCTAACTAATACGTCTCTCAAGTAACAAGGAAATTGCTATCTTACACATTGCTTTGAAGTGACAAAAGAAAGTGCTAGCTAATACGTCTCTCAAGTCACAGGGAAATTGTTATCTTACACATGTCCCTCAAGTGACAACGAAAACTGCTAACTAATACGTTTCTCAAGTGACAAGGAAACTGCTAACTTACACATGTCCCTCAAGTGAAAAAAAAAATTGCTAAATTACACAAGCCTCTCAAATGACAAAGGAAACTGCTAATTTATAAAAGCCTTTCAGAGCGACAAAGGAAACTTTTAACTTACACGAGCCTTTCAGGTGACGAGGAAAAAAATTTAACTTACAATAGTCTCTCAGGTAAATTTAGAAAACGTGCACCGTTAACCAACATAATGATTTAACACAATAAAAGTACAACATTTCATTAGGGACTAAAATAACGAAAACTGCGACTCAAAGAAATTCCGAAAAATACGGTTATTATTTGACGATGACTTCAGCGATAGAAAAATTATATTTTCGCACACACACACACACACACACACCCATATATATATAGATATATATATCGAGGGCTCAATTTTGCATGTGCACCTCTATTCTTGAAAAGCTGTTCTTGAAAATATAGATCACAAATTCAAAGTTTATTAATAAATGAATTTCGTCTTTTTGAGAGCATGCAAGTTTCAGACTAATCTAGCCTATTATTTTCACACTTCGCTTGTGCGAGGTACTGGTACTGATTTATTGCATACTAATAAAAAACATCGCAGGAATATTAAATGTTTAACTTCGCTAAAGCTCATGAGATTTCAAATATATTTTGGAAATATTCCGACTGACGTGTCAAATCAAAGGTTTTAAGTTCTATAATTAGTAATGATGAGCTTTCCTAAAATAAAAAAACGCATCAAAGAACAAATAATTTGAATATCGGACAATATACAGTCGCTGTAAGACAAAGAACAGAGAGCTGGAGTGTCGTTATGGCATTGGAAAATAACAACAACAAACATTGTTCAAACTGGCTTATACTAAATCTTAGAAACTAATGAACTTACTGACAAGCGAATTAGATTTCGACTTATTTTTCTGCTAATGTTAAAAAAAAGAAACATCTCTACAGAGTATATAAGAACGTATAAAATAATGGAAATTATTCTCCAGCTAGACATTTATAACGTCTTTGGTTTACTTTTAATTTTAGGGATTTGCATTGTTTTCTAGGTTATCGTTGACATTCATAATAAAAAACGTAACAACATTCATCTCCTT